TTCTTAATCCATTTGTCAGTAGTGGGGTATCTTGTTTGTTTCTGTAACTTGGCTACTGTGAATACTGCTGCAATAAACATGGGTGTACAGGTGCCTTTGGAATAACCTGACTTGCATTCCTTTGGGTATATCCCTAGGAGTGATATTGCTGGATCATATGGCAGATCTATGTTTAGTTTTTTAAGAAGCCTCCATATTGTTTTGCAGAGTGGTTGTACTAGCTTGCATTTCTACCAGCAGTGTATGAGGGTTCCTTTTTCTCTATATCCTTGCCAACATTTGTTGTTGGCAATGTTTTTGATGGTAGCTATTCTAACAAGGGTGAGGTGGAATCATAATGTGGTTTTGATTTGCATTTCCTTTACTGCCAAGGATGGTGAGCATTTTTTGGCCATTTGGATTTCTTCATTTGAAAAAGTTTTGTTTAGTTCAGTTGCCCATTTCTTTATTGGTTCAATGATTTGGGGGGAGTTTAGTTTTTTGAGTTCCCTGTATATTCTGGTTATCAGTCCTTTGTCTGATCTATAGCTAGCAAATACTTTCTCCCACTCTGTGGGTGGTCTCTTCAGTTTAGAGACCATTTGTTTTGTTGTGCAGAAGCTTTTTAATTTCACATACTTCTATTTGTCCATCCTTTCTCTTAGTTTCTGTGCTTCTGGGGTTCTACTGAGGTCCCTGTTAAACCTATTGCTTTTCTTTTTTATTTTGCCTGCTCCAGTTTTGTGTATCGTACCGGTATGAGGGGAAGCTACATTCAGTCATTAGATCCAGTGCTATTTTTAGATACCTTTAAGAAAACACATTTTTATCATACATATCTCCACTCCTAGTGCCTCCCTAGCATTTATAGGAAGCATCACAAATTATTGTATGTTCACTGAGAGAAAATGTGACTATAATAATCATATAGGTAGAGGCATAAGAAGGTTGCCATTTAATTTTGATTGTCCATCTCTAGCATGTGTTGGGTAGTATTTTAAAGGATTCCTCTCAGGAATTTAAGAATATTTTTACAAGGTTGTAGGGGTGGACCTCTGTAAGTATTCAATAGGTGTAGATGGAGCATGAATTGATATAACACTTTGGGAATATCTGAATGTGTGTGTCAAATGACACATGTAATAATTTTGTTGGGCATGTTGTCTTTTTCAAAGGCAAATGAAGACTCCAAATTTACTAACAGAAATTATCAAAAATAAAATGTCTCCTAAATCATTAAGTACTAATATGAAGTTAAATCAAAGTGCAGGACATCCACACTTCATGTACAAAGCTCAGGAATGAGGGTATTCAAAAACCCTCCCTGAGCATGCTTTTGTTGCTTGTGCCTTATAAGAATCCTTGAATTCCTAGCTTTTCTAATGAATATGCATTTTTAATTTTTCTCTGGCCAGCAAATTTTTGTTGAAACTGTCAATTTTGAGAGGTTAAGATATCTTGGTTCATTGTCATTATTGTTGACCTACCTACAAAGGAGAAAGCTTAAGATATTTTCCATGTTTTCACTCTGGAAAAGATGGGCATCTATGAAATTCCTTTTATCTCTGAGGTAACTCATGAGTGTAAATATAATTTAAGTGACAGTCAATTTTGGTCCTGTGCAAGGGAGGAAAATGTCCTGCTATATAAAACTGTACCTTGAAACACAGTCATTTTCTTTTTTTCCATTACAGTCAAAAGAACAGAAGTTTAGAGTATCATAGGTAAAACCTTGTTTATAAGTAAGTAAGTAGCAAGCTGCACATTTGACAGTTGAGACAATCTGATATTAAATATCTTGATAGGTGAGAGGTGGTGCTCATGTGTTATTAAATGTTCCTTCTCATTGCCATTGGAGGCCATGTGTCTCATATTGTAATGCCCATGAAAAGTCTGCCTTCATGTCCTTCATGCTTTTCATCGAAAACCACTTTTGGGCATCTGCCTCATTTCTAGACTGCCAGGAACATTCCTAGTACAGTCCAAACTTGGGACTCTTCACAGGTTGGAGAAAATTTGAGATGAATGGCACAATATCTAACATATTCTGAAAACAAAATTCTCAGAAAAAATATTTAGAGGTCCCACAGTCTTAAGAAATGAGAGAAACCAACAGAGCACTATTCCCAATAGCTAAGTTATAGAAACAGCCAAGATGCCCCTCTACTGACAAATGGATTAAGAAAATGTATTTATAAACAATGGAATTTCATGCAGCCATGAAGAAGAATGAAATCTTATCATTCCCAAGTAAGTGAATGGAACTGGAGAACATCATCCTGATCAAGGTTAACCAGGCCCAGAAGACCAAAAATTGTATGTTCTCCCTCATATGTGGACTTTAGATCAAGGGTAAATAAAACAAGGGGATTGGACTTTGATCACATGATAAGGTGAGAGCACACAAGGGAGGTATGAGAATAGGTAAGAAACCCAAAAAACTAGATAGCATCTGATGTATTTAATGCAAAGGAACCAATGCAGAAACTTTAAAATGACAGAGGCCAATAGGAGAAGGGGACTAGGTACTATAGAAAAGGTCAGTTTGAGAAGAATCAATTTTGAATGGAACATATGTGCACAGGAAAGCAATGTGAGGGATCTCCCTGTACAGCCATCCTTATCTCAACTAGAAAAAACCCTTGGTCCTCTTTATTAATGTTTATACTCTCTCTTCAACAAAGTTAGAGATAAGGGCATAACAGTTCTTGCTCAGGAGCAAGGGTGTGGTGGGGAGAAGGAAGGGGCAGGGTGAAAGAGGGGGGAGAAGGGTGGAGAAATGACCCAAACATTGTATGCACATATGAATAAAAGGAAAATAAATTAGTTAATTAATTTTTAAAAAGAAGCTAAAATATTACTATTATTAATCTTTACTTTCTCTCCTTTCATCCTTGCCATAATTTTACCTAACACCAAGCCTGTAGTCTGTCAATCCTTAGGACACAAATGACTTTCATAATTTTAATATGCATGATGATTCCCCAGTTTCCTTGATTTACTTTATAGAGCTTTCTTTGAAAACAAAATTATAAATTGTCTACCTAGTTACCCTTATAAGGTATTTTTTTCCTTAGATTTGCTTAACTTAGGAAAATCTATAAGCACAAGACTTTTGTGTCATAAACTATAGTTACACGGTTAATATATAAAATTTCTGCTCTCTTGGTATATTCTCTCTCCCTTTTCCTTTCTTCCTTATACTGAAGTAGTTCCACTGTTCAAGGTAATTTTAAAGTTACCTTAGTCAGCCTTAGCTAAAATGTAACATTCTGTTGCTTTTAATTCATATGAAACCAAAACTAATTATATAAAAATCCTTTGTAAAATCCAAACAATATTGACAACACAAAGAGCATTTCATGGGGTCATATTCTTTTCCATGGCTCACCTCTAATGAGCTGACCAATGTAGCCTGCAAAGGAGGGCCATATGTCGCAACCATTGCTTTTTTCACAAAGCTGTTTTTCAAATTAAGATAGTAAGAAGATCACCACGCCGGGACCAGTGGCTGATGTCTGTAATCCTAGCTACTTAGGCAGAAGAGATCAGGAGGATCATGGTTCGAAGTCAGCTGGGCAAATAGTTTGCAAGACCCTATCTTAAAAAACCTTTCACAAAAGTATGGCTGGTGGAGTGGTTCAAGGTGAAGGCCCTGCGTTTAAGCCCCAGTACTCCCCCCAAAAATGATCACCAAAGCTATGTCTTTAAACTTCATTTAAAAATATTAAATATTTGGAAAACTTGCACCTTAATGGTTACATTTCTTAAGTTACACATGTATTCAGTCCTTTACACTTTAGCCAAGACAGCTTCCTAATCATTATTTCAATACAAAAGAATATTTACCATCATGAAAAACAGAGTATCCCAAGAGCTTTTCTTAATTGCAAGAGATGAGATCCCAACTCTATACTCAAAGTTCAGTATCCCTAAATTCATTTTAAAAAGGTTATCTGTTTAAAACACACTTCTATAACCCAAAGTAGACTATTATTACAGATGAAATACCCTACAAATTTTAATTCCTAAAAATCTCTGCTTTAATGTTTAAAAAGTCTTCTTGTTATAAATTTTAAATCTCAAAAATATAAAATAAAATTTCACTCTGTATTGACCACCTCAGCCCTCACTGTTTGACTCATCCTGCTTTTTTGTAGACTCTTGATTAAAAAATAGTTCCAAATAGCCTGAAAATTATGCCTGTATTGTCATAGTTCTCGAATGAGGAACACCCTCTCACCATACTCCAACATGTTTACTAACAATTCACTAAAATCTTAAAGTCATCTCTTTGTGAAATGCCATGGTCTTGGACTCCTGATTACAATAAAATTCTAATTAACAGTTGTCTTTTCTTTTCTTTTGTTGTGTTTGGTTCTCATTTCATTTTTACTTCTTCTTTTTTTCTTTTCTTTGCTGTCTTCTTTTTCTTGCAGACACAGACAAGAAAACTAAACAACATGAGTAATGTTGCTGACATTCCTAACCACGTTCCTTTAAAAATATACTAAAGCATTAGAATTAAATAGTGATTTTACAGAGTTAATTATTAAGTGCAATGAAAATTCTCTCACTATGAGTTAAAAAATAAAAGCAACTGGTCTTTGTAGTAAAGCCTAATATTTACTATTTTTAAAATTATACTTATTTTATCAAAATCTAAAATTAATGCAATAAGATACATTATGTAGACCTTTCATATTGTATGGAAACTTTTTTTTTTTGCTGTATGAAAACTGTATTTTTTTCTTTTAATATAAAACTATTGTCACTGCCACAAAATAGAACAAGTTTCTGATTATTTTACATTGGAGGGTGTGAGAAGGGGAGGGAGCAAGAGGTGGGAGGAAGGGCTTGTGTTGGAGGAAGTGTCCAGACCACAGTCTTCCCCTCCCTGCCCACACTGTTCCTCAGCACGGGTCTGCCGCTTTCCCATGAAATGTTGAATACAAATATATGTGGAAAATGCCCCCTAAAACTTGAGAAAAGAAAAAGGAGTTTTAAAAACAGTCAAAAGGTTTTCTTCATTTCTTGCAAAGATTGTAGTTGAAGGGTTTCTGGTATAGAAAACACCCAGACTTGGTTTGTGTACATTTTTACATTGCAGGAGTCTTGGGGAGAGTGTCTAGGTAGGCAGCAGGGTAGCCACCAGCCCTAGGGAACAGAGTTGGAGCACAGCACAAGGCCCTGGTGGGGCTTGAGAGCCAGCTTCTCACCCTGTACCCCATTCTGCAGCAGACTGACATCGCCTTTGGGCTGTTTGGTCACAAACTCAGTGATGCTGAAGACAAACTGCAGGCAGCCCAGCTTGATGTAGCTGCCATGGTGTAGTAAGGCCGTACCCTCCCAGGCGGCCCCACTGCCCCCAACCAAGCTTGAGCTGCTGGCTTTGCAATTGCAGTGTCTCCGCTGGGACCCCTAGGCCTGGGAACTCATCATGACTGCCTCCTCACTTGGCTCTTCATCTTGTTTCTGGTGCCGGCAATGCCTGATGACACTCTGCACTTTGGCAACAATACTGCTTGGGGCAGTTGGTGGGGTCTTCTCAGAGAAGTCACATGAATACAGACATTGTCCACCGTTGTTCCATGCTCACTGTAGTTTAACAGCTCATAATGTTTGGTATTCTCATCAAAGAATATGCAGGCATGTTTCCCCGACACGTAGTTACAGTGACCATAGTTTGTAAGGCACACATCCATGTCAGCTCCTGTCCCGATGTAGAGGGTTCTATAGCACATGTTCACAGCTCCTCCCAACCCTAAGAGGGGGTAGAACACAGCTCGGGCCTGTACCTGCTTCCTTTGCACTTCTGTGTGGTGCCCTCTGGAAGCCGGTGGATGTGTCCCAACACTACCCAGTGAAGTTTGGACCCGGGAGGGGAAAAGCTGATGTATTCTCTTCAAGGCCAGAAACTTGATCAGCTTCTCATCCAGCATATTTATCTCAATTTCTCCATTGACATCCATAAATGCTCAAAGTGAGTTGGTGAGGTCCACCATGGCAGTAGAGTTGGCTGGGAAAGAGGGTATGGTTAAAGTGCTTCCTATGGATAACTTGCCAGGGCTGACCTTGCCATCTGATGATGGCGCTGGTGAGCAGAATTGTTGGTTGGCTCCTGTGGCCAAGATTCCATCTCCTGCTGCTTGGGGGGGAGTGAGCACTCGGGTGCCATTTGGGGATGAACCCAGAGGCCTTGAATCTGTCAACGGAGGTCCTATCTGTGATTGGACAGTCTTTCTTTGCAAAGTGCTGGTGTTCTCAATGCTGGCACAAGAGCTGGGAATGGAAGGGGTCAGGCTTGGGACAGGCCTTTGCCCTTTGGGGGCAAGAGCTGGGACCAGTGGCATTCTCCATCTTCACAATGATGCCAATGGTGTGGTTCTGAAGGCCCCCAGCTGCTGGTGGTGTGAGGGGCCAGGGCCAGCCTTGCCGGTGTGAAAGGCCTGGTAGGGGGGTATTGGCGCCTGGAAGTCGCCAGGGGTCCGTGGAATCAGTGGGGCTGCTGTATAGGTGTGGGCCATTGGCTTTCACCTCTGTGTTCACTGGCCCATTGGCAGTCCCACAAGGAGCTCTCTTGGATTTTTCTACACAAGAACTGCTGCTGATGTCCTCGATGGCTGGGGGCTGGTGAGGTGGAAAGCAGCTCAGGGAATTCTAGGTGCTAATCCCTGAAGGACAGGACAAGGGGTAGTGGGAAGGTGTAGGTGCCTTGTCAGCTGTTTGCAGGGAAGTGGTGATTGAGCTGTCAGTCACAATAACAGGCTTAATGTCAGCCTTCTCTGTCTGTTCAGAGTCCCAATGCGAAGGTATCTGCTTAGCAGATAAATGTTTCAATGTGCTGCACTGGAGCATAACAACATTACAGAGCCACTCTTGTTGCTATGCCTGGGTGGATAAGTGCTCAGAATTCAAAAGGTGTGCCTGTGATTCCTCAGGGATCCCATTGCAGATCAGCTCCCCATCCCGAATGGCCACGGGTGCAATTAGAGGGGGCATCAGGAACCTTCAAGATTCTTCTTTTGACTGACTGGAGCACATGGCGGTTAGGAGGGTGCTTCTTGTGGATTCGGTTCAGGAAGTCCACTTTGAGACATGCTGTGAAATGGTGTCCTGGAAACTATCAAACACCTGGCACCGATTGCTCAGTGTCATATTCTTCTGGTTCAGCACCACATGTTCAATGTGATTTGGACACCATCCATCTGCCCAGGGGCATGGCAGTGAGTGGTGGCTCAAGGCAGTCCATGTGAAACAGGAGTGGGCAATAGTCACACTGGATAAGTGGGGCCACGTGGCAACTCCTGTTACATGTGAAGCAGACTTTGACCGGTAAGGGAACAAGACCATTGTGATCTAACTCATGCTGTGTCTTCTTAACGTTTTTCCCTGTGGTCTCCTTCTTTCTTCTCCTCTTGCTAGAACTTGGTAGTGCAGTTGTACAAGTCAGTTCATTGGGCAACTGAAATTGGGTGGGGTTCTGCTCCATGGCAGCAGCAATCAGCAGATCAAAGGGCCACCTCAGCTGGGGCTGCACATAGTCCGGCTCTGATGCAACTGGCTTCTCATCCACGTCAATGATGTCCTCATCGACGTCATTCTGCTCAGAGGTGGGGGTCTCTGTGCTGGCATTGGATGTGGGGGTGCCAGGCCGGCTGGCTCTCCTTTCTAGGATCCGGGCATGGGCAATGGCCTTGAGTTCAGTTTTGCTAGCTGATCTGTCCAACAAGTCAGTGTCACTGCTGGGGGATGTAGTCCGTTTGCCAGATTTGTCCACCAGTCCATTGACATGACCCAGCTCCTTTTTCTGCTCTCGTTTCTGTTGGCGAACAGTACGCCGGTGACACATCCACTCCCCAGGAGGCAACATCTATTCACTCAGTGGAGGGATACAACACTGGAGATGGAAGTCAGTCAGGCAGTGGTCACAGCACAGGAGATCTCCACCTTCCTTGCAGCTATTGCAGCTGTCGTGATTGGTGGCCCTGCCTCTTCTCCGGGGCTCCTTCTTGGGCTTCCGACTGTGCTTCTCTGCCTCGCCCATCTCGGGGGGAGCCAGCAGAGCTTGGATTTGCTCCATCAGCTCTCCCCTCCACCCCAATGTGTCCAAGTCATACACGATCGTCCTGGTCTCCATTTTCTCCCACATTCATCCACCTCCCGAACTGGGCGCTCTCTACTCCGGCCCCTCCAACCCCGGGGGGAGGGGGGAAATAAAGGAAACGGGGGCTTTTGACCCCTGCTCCCCTTCTCTTTTCCCAACACCTCTCCAACTTTCTTGCCCTGCTTCCCTCCTCCCCCCGGCCCCCAGTCCCTGGGATGGCAGCGTCCTCCCCATGGGCTGCGAGGGGAGCAACCCCTCAGCCAGCAGCAGCCCAGCGGCTGACTGCAGAGTGGGTCCCGACTCCAGGGGTCAGTCCTTGGTGGGGCCTAGTCCCACAGGCTAAAGCCGGCTCTGGCGACCGCTGGTCTGGTCGGGAAGGCTGGCAGGCGCTGCCATCCCGGGGTTGGGGGGATCGGATCGGAGGGGTGTGAGAGATTAGGTGAGGTTGTGGTAAGTGAGGTGACTGGGGGGAAGGGTCTGTATGGAAACTTGAAAATCAAAAAGAGTAAAGAAAATATTATATGCCTCATTCACATTTTTAAAATCCAAAATTCGGACAATGATTCATACTATGCTGAGGGTATTTGGGTTAAAGATAAAAACAGTTATGGATGCCAAGAATGACCCAAGTTAAAATTATGAATTTGACAAGTATTTCAAGTACCAATTTTAATTCATAAAGTGACATAATCATTTGTCAAATTCTAAACATAAAGCAATCAATACATGAATCCATTAAGTATAAAACTGTTCTTAAATGTTTTTCACTTAAAAATAAAAATTATTATAGGATCTATACCAACTGACAAAGACCTTGAAAATATACTAACATCAATCCTTATTGAACAAAAGAACAAACACCTTTAAAAATATTCTTCATTAGTCTGTCAGTACCAAATATCATTTGCCTAGTGAAACTACCACAAGAAAGAGACCAACGTAGAATGAAGAAAATTAGAGGAGATAACCAAGTAGGCTTATAATACATACACACATGGAAATATCACAAGGAAACTCCCTGTGTAGCTACCTTTATTTCAAGCTAAAATGTCATGTTTTTCATTTTATTTTTTCTCCTTTTCCTTGTAGAAAATCAGAGAACAGAAGGGTAGAAAAAGTCCTGCCCAGAGGGGAGGGATGGCACAAGTGGGAGGGAGGAGGTGTTGGGGATAGGGTATTGGAGGAAGAATACAGATCAATAAAATGTGTACACATGTAATTAAGAACAAAAATGATACACGTTGAAACTACTCCAGGAGTCAGGGGAAGAGGTAATGAAGGAGAATGGTTGAGTAGGTGAATTCATGTATGATATATTTGATACATTGTAAGAACATGTATAAATGCACACCCCCATAATAATAAGGAAAAAATAAAATTATAGAAAAAAACAAACATCATTTGCAAATTGGAAAAAGAGGCAACCAGACCTCAAACTCTACTTAAAATAAATACTTTATTCCACTTGGTCTTCAACATCCAAAATACTATTTACAAAACAAGAAAAGTTTAAAATAGGAACATTATAAAATAAGAAAATGCAACATTGATAAATAATCATCCCAATTTCAAATATAGACAAAAAATAAATTCTTGCACAACTGGTTATGTACACACAGAAGAAAGAAACTCGTCACTTGACTCCCATCCTCTACAGAAATGAATTAAAAGGGATCAGAGATCTTTATGTAATTTCTGAATCTATGAAAATGCCTCAAGAGGTTTTTTTGGGTGGATGGGAGGCAGTACAGGGCATAGAATTCATGGCCTCGGGCTTGCTAGGTAGGCACTCTTAACACATGAGCCACACCACAGCCCTGAAATTACAACAGGAAAACACTGGAAGCTGTAGGCATAGGTAATTATTTTCTGAACATGACTCTAATTGTGGAAAAAATAAGAAAAGGAGCAGACAAAGTCAATTGTATCAAATGAAAAAGATTCTGTAAATCAAAAGAAACAATTACCAGAGTCAAGAGACAGGTCACAAAGTTGGAAGAAATATTTGACAACTATTGAAAGGAAAAGGATTAATATCTTGAATATATGAAGAAGTCAAAACAATAAACACCAAAAGAACAAACAATCCAAATGACTTGAACAGACAATAACATTAAAGACTAAGAATGAACAAAAAAAATCAACATTCTTAGCCATAAACAAAATATATATTACTACTACACTGAGATTCCATCTACCCGTGTCAGAATGCAATCATCAAGAAAACAAACAACAAATTATTATGAGGAGTTAATGAAAAGGAACTTATATGTGCATACATATGGATGGATGTATACACAATATATTTACACCATGCAACCCAGTGGCAGTATAAATAAGTCTCACAGCTATGGAAATCATTATGAAGGCTCACTCAAAGACAAACAACAAAATCTAACAATAGTCTTGCCTAATGACCCTGATATACCACACTTGAGCATAGACCTAAGGAGTATAATTCAACATACAAGAATTATACATGTACATCCACATTGATCACAGCAGTATTCACAATAGCCAGCTATGGAATCAGCCTAGTTGCCCAAGAATGGATGGAATGAGAATCATCATGTTGAGCAAGAGAAGCCAAGCTCAAAAAGCCAAATACTACAGGTGTTTGCTCATATGTGAAACAGACCTACAATGAAGATGATGATAGCAATAGTGGGATATTAATGTGAAAAGGGGACCCTCCTGTAGGATAAGCCAGAGGGAGAAGGGGGAAAAATAGGTCAGTTACACATACACATGAAGACAGTAAAATGAAACTTTCCAAATAGTGCTGAAGAAAGGGGGTGAGGAGAAATGGATTATAAGGTTATATGTAGAGGGGTTCAACTTATTCCAAATACTCTACATGCAGCAAGGAATTGTCACAATGAAACTCACTTGTATATTAATGTTGGCTTACAAATATATCCATAATTTGAATTCAACTTACTATCAAAATAAAAATTTTAATGAATGTTTCCAACAATGGTTAAGCCCTCATAAAAAGACCAAAAAAACTCTATTGACTAATCTCTCCCAAAATATAAACATAAAAAAAAAACTGGGACACTGATAGTCTAATGGCATCAAATGAATCACATAAACTGAAGATATACCCCGTGTCATGTACAAGACAGACCAAACTAAATGTCCCTCTCTTTGGAGAGATCATTGGTCATCCATCTACTCCAGAAGACTGAAGATCTTAAAGGCTGAAAATGACCAGGACTTCCCTCCATTGAGCTCTAAACAGTCATCTTTCAAATTATTCTTAAAATCTCAGGTCTTTCTAAATGTAACAAATTCATTTAAGTATTGGGGCTTAATATTCTGCCCTAACAAAATTCCTAAGACCACTTTTTACAAAAACAAAGAGAAGACTCTCTCTGTTCCTTACCTACAGGTATAAAACTATTAACTTCTCACTAAAATCTAACAAAATGTCCCACTCCAATACTAGTCACAATTATTCTGAATACTTTAAATGCCATTACACATTTAAATATTGAGCATTATAATAATATTCCTGAGAATCTAATGAGACCCCAACAGGAAAAATCATAACACTTCCAAAAGGTCCTTGCCCCCCCCATAAAATCCTCAACAATACAACAAAAAAATAAGTAAATAAAATAAAGTTACCTTACAGAAGAGTAACATTCAACCTACTGTCATTCCCTTTCTAGGTCCTCTCCTTATCATATGAAAATGAATATCCTGTTAAGTTGAAATCTAAATTAAAACCACAACCTTTGATTACTGTTTTAAAAATGCAAATTAATAATGTCTTGTTGATAACCTTGTGACTCATCTATTCTCCCAAATAACAAAGAAAACTTATACAAATCTTAAAAAACTATAGTACTAGTTCAGCCCATAGTCCCAAAGCCTTTAAATATTTTGCCTAAATACTTACAAAGGGTTCCTGTTTTAGAGTTATTATTTTTAAAAATGTAGACTTCTATATTCCTCTAAAGTTCACAATTTTTGCTTGTTTTAAATAAATCCAGACACTTTACCAACTACAGACTTAAATTATTTAGCCTCAGATCTATAAAAATATACTGTGGATAAAAACTAAAACTATAACTCTAGGTCAAAATCTTGATTCGGTAGGTAAATAATTTGCCACCAAAATATTAAAATTAAAATAATAATATCTGCACATACAAAACTAATCAAGCTAGTCAAACTTTACAAAATGTCATTTTAACAACACTATACAATATCCTAAACATAAAAATCATTCAGAGTTAAAACAAACACTAACAAATGTTCAAAATGTGTGCTCTCAAAAAGGAAAAACCTTAAAATCTCCACAATCCCCTAAATAAAAATTACCAACCATTAAAACTTAAAAAATATTGCAAGTTTAGAATGACTATTATCTGTAGTTAATTCACACTTTCATCCAACTAACTCAAGGACAACTTTATTTTAAACAATAAAGCAACATGCATAAATATTGCCAGTAAATGAGTGGGTGAAATCCCTCCTACTAATTATAAAACCATTTTACTACTCAAATTACTGATAGGTATGCCTCCAATTAAATACAAAAAATTCCATGAAATACTCCACTGAAAATGTGACAGTTATGTGATAACAAACCATGGCCCTGCCTAACCCTATGTTGAAATAGGAAAATGTACTATCACGTTACCCTATATACAAAAACTGATAGACGTTGCAAAACATGTTAAGTTACCAGTACAGAATCATAAGTAAACAGAAGGTATGACCAAGTAGCCTCTATTTCATCTCTTCAATAACCTTAAAAACATAAAATAGCAAGTAAAATAGCTCAGCAACTTTACCCAAAAGTTTTTCTATGACTCAGCCAAAGACACATTTCTCTTAAAAAATAAAAGTAACAAAATCGAATGTTCTCCAAACTAAAATTTCCCTAAACCTTCTTAATGCTGCTTAGAAAGGCACTAACCTCATAGCAGGACTTAACTGCTGTGTTTATGTTCCAAATATCTCATTGTCACCTCAGTCCTGAAAGATCTTCACAACCAGAATCAATGTTATGTATAACTATTTACCCATCTAAGCATTAATTACCCATCTAAGCTCATGGTTTATTGGGGACTCTTGGTTAAATGAATTGCAATAATTGTTTTAATGTTTATATCCCTAA